TTGAATATTGAAGTAGGTGAGCTGTTACTAATATTAAACGATCAAAGCTCATGAGTGTCTTAGTATTATTAATATTACAGTTTGGAAATTATATTGGAAACTTAATCACTCAACAATTTCATTCTCACTCGCTGAGATCCAACATGTTCTCCAGAGTGGAATGAAAAGGAGGGTGCCCCAGCTCACATGCTGGGAACCACATACAACCCTGGCTAAGAGTTTATCACTGCAGGAAATATCATTCAAATTATATTCTGAGAGAGAAAAAACAAGCCAAAAATAATAAAAAATTTTGGCTTACTGTTGTCTCCTATCCCCAGAGATATTTGCATTATCTTACCTTTTCCCTATCTGACTAGCTGGGTACCCGACCTGCGCTGTCCTGTAGTGTGCAAATTGTGTAAATCTATATGTCACCTTTTGACAGTTTTTTGCTGGAAAGTTCAGAGTCAAATTTTTGACCAATTTCTAAATATACATTAGGGCCTGGCAGTGCGCTTTTGTATACAATTCCACTCCTGGCTTTCTTTGATCTACCCCACACTCTTCTGCCCCATATTCCATGTTCCTCCCCAGCTATTCTGTTGTATCTTGTGTGCATTTATAGATGCTACCTTAAGTCCTTTCCAGGAGACAAGGTAAAAATAAACATCAAGATTTGTTTGGAGGGTACTCTTTTATTGTTATTATGCATAGTCATGCATTTTTTAAAAATCTTCTGGTGAGTTTTCTTCCAAAGAATGTCTTTCTTATTATTCCTCCCAGGAAGCTGTGCCACATGATTATATGTTCAGTTGAACTCATGCATTGTTTCTCAAAGTTCTAGGAAAAGAAAGAATACACTTAATAAAATAAATGACAATGCTATGTATTAATTTTCAAGCAGTTATTGGTTTCCATATCAGAGTCCTGCACGCCAATCACAGAGCTTGAGGATGGGCCCTTTTCTTTATCTATACGCTGCCCAATTCAGCAAGCAAGCAATCCACAAAGATATACAAAGGGACAAGTTAGTGAACAAACTCTTGTGACAGGTTAAAATATGAACTTGTGAGTAGCCACAGCTTTCTACCCAAGCTGCTCAAGGATTCAAAATTGCTGGTTAAGCCCAGGGTGAGGAAGAGAATGGGAAGGAGCCGAAAAGGACAATACTGAGAGTGCGGCTCCATCTGAACACAGTGGAGAGACTGGCGTGTGTGTGTGTGTGTGTGTGTGTGTGTGTGTGTGTGTGTGTTTGAGGTGGGGGGGCATGTCTATGGAAGCACTACAGGGCACAGTGGGACTCTGAGGACAGAGATGCCCAAGTAAGAGTTTTAAGACTTTATTGTTGTTTTTTTGGGGGGCGGGAGGGGGAAGATCTTTTATTTGCCAGCTATTCAAGAACTTTACTGCAGGCTTACTTTTATTTAAGAGTTGTGATGTCAACATTGCATGCATTTTCTTTTAAAAGTGTCGTAAGACTAGACTAGGTTTGTATCATTTTGGGAGGAGTTTTGGAGAGAGCTCCTGTTGCAAGGGACCATTCTTCCTTATTTTACTTTTTCACTTTTTTAAAATCATGACACTATATATATTTATATTATAAAATTTACCATTGCAACCATTTAAGTGTACACATCAGTGGAGTTAGTTACATTTACATTGTTTGCAACCATCACCACAAACTATTTCCAAAAAATTTCATCACCCTAAACAGAAATCTGTACCCTTTATGCAATTGCTTCCGATTTCCACCCCCACCCCCAGCCTCTAACAACCTCCAGTCTACTTTCTGTCTTGTAATTGCCTATTCTAAGTTCATCATATAAGGGGAATCATGCAATATTTGTCATGTTGTGTCTGTTTTTTTCATTTAGCAAAATGTTTTCAAGACTCATCCATGTTGTAGTATGTATCAATATTCTATTCCTTTTAATAGCTAAATAATGTTCCATTGTAAGTGTATACCACATTTTGTTCATTCATTCTTCTAATAATGAACATTTGGATTATTTCTACCTTCTGGCTACTGTGAATAATTTTTCTATATGCATTAGTACACAAGTACATGTTTGAGTCACTGTTTTCAATTCTCTTGGAGTAGACTTGCTGGGTCAAATGGTGATTCTATGTTTAAGTCCTTGAAGAACTGCCAAACTGCTTTCCACAGCAAATGCACTATTTTGTATTCGCACCAGCCTCAGGTAGCTGTGGGTTTTTCAATCACTGTACGGTGTTTCCAAGCAAGGCCCATTGCTTTTCCCTGCTGAGTGGTTTCCAGGTTAGGTGCAACAGCGATGAATGCCTTGTTCAGGCAGCTTCCAGAAAGGTTAAAACAGACAAACACAACCATTTGTGAATCGGATCTGCTCCAGACTCTCTGGAACCAGAGATTAGGGTCACACACTGGGAATGCTGGCTGCCATCTCCAGGACTGTCACCAAGCTGGGGAAGTACGACAAGAGCTAGTAAAAATGCCACACGGCTTTCATACCATTTTTAAGTTGCCTTTTTGTTGACTCAGTATTCTTTTGGTCCCTGTAAACCTTTGATCATTTTCCAGAGATCTGATAAAATTGCTTCTGACAATGTCCCTGTGGAGGAGTGGGAGCACGGAGCTGCCTTCCCTACCATTTTGCTGACGTCACACCCATGCA